GGGGGGGCAATTGGGGTTAAGTGACTTGTCCGGGTCACACAGCAAGTAAGTGGCAAGTGTTTGGTCTGAGGACAGATTTGAACTCAGTTCCTCCTGACTTCAGGGCTGATGCTCTATCCTCTGTGCCACCTACCTGCCCCCAAAAATAAACTTTTAGTGTAATGTAAATACAACTTTATCTGGTTGATTGTTTGATCTTTCTGGTCATTATAATACTTTATTAGACTGTAAGTACACTCAAAAAGTTTACCTGTAAACCCTCATCTAAAGTGAAGTAAGCAAAACCAAGAAATCAGTACACATAATGATTATAGCAATATAAATTAAAAGTAAAACAATAGAAATAAAAATTGAATGACTTATAATTGTAATGACCAAGCTTGATGCCAAAGGAGAGCTACAACAATTAACCTCTTTTCCAACATCAGGGACCATGACGGTTTAACCCCAAAAATATTGTCAGACTTGATGGATTCAATGGTTAATTTTGCTGAACCCTTTTACCCTTCTTTTTTCCCTTTCTTATAAGGAATGATTCCAGATAAGCCATTAGTTAACTTGATTTTAAAAAAAGAAAGAAGAAAACCAAATTACTAGTATCAAAGATAAAAAGAGTGAATGCACCACAAATGAAGATGAAATTAAAGCAATTATTATGAACTACTTTGCCAAGTTATATGTCAAGTTGATAATCTAAATTAAACATATATTTCAATAAATAAATAAATAGATAAATAAACTCCCTAGATTAATAGAAGAATAAATAGAATACTTAAATAACCCAATCTCAGAAAAATAAATTGAACAAGTCATCAATGAGCTCCCTAAGAAAAAATCCCCAGGAGCAGATGGGTTCACAAATGAATTTTACCAATCATTTAAGAAACAATTAATTCCAATAATATATAAACTATTTGAAAAAATAGGTAAAGAAGTACTACCAAATTCCTTTTATGACACAAATATGGCTTTGATACCTAAACTAGCTACAGCAAAAACAGAAAGAAAATTACAGGACAAATTCCTTAATGAATATCAATGCAAAAAAATTAAATACAATAATAGCAAGGAGATTATAGCAGTATATCACAAAGATCATGCACTGTGATTAGGTAGAATTTATGACAGGAATGAAGGGTTAGTTCAATATTAGGAAAACTATCAGCATAATTAATCATATTGATAACAAAAACAGCAAAAATTATATAATTATCTCAATAGGTGTAGAAAAAGCCTTTGACAAAATGCAATACCCATTCCTATTAAAAACACTAGAAAGCATCGGAATTAATGGAGCTTTTCTTAAAATTGGAAATAGTTTCTGTCTAAAACCAAGAGCAAGCATTATCTGTAGCAGGAATAAATTGAAGCCTTCTCATTAAGATCAAGAGTGAAGCAAGGATGCCCATTATTACCATTATGATACAAAATTGTACCAGAAATACTATATAATATGTGTGTGTACTAGAAATGTTGTATTAGCTATATAAATAAGACAAAAAAAGAAATTTAAAAAGATAGACAATGAGGAAACAAACTATCACTCTTTTCAGATGATATGATGCTAAACTTAAAGAATCCTAGAGAATCAACTAAAAGAGCTAGTTGAAATAATTAACAACTTCAGCAAAGTTGCAAGATATAAGATAATACACATAAGTTATCTGCATTTCTATATATTACCAGCAAAGTCTAGCGAGAAAGATGAATTCTATTTAAAATAACTGCAAACAATATAAAATACTTCGGAGTCTACTTGCCAAGACAAACCTAGGAATCATATGATTGCAATTGCAAAACACTTTTCATACAAATACAGATCTTAACAACTGGAGAAATATTAATTTCTCACAGGTTAGATCAAGCCAATGTAACAAAAATGATAATTTTGCCTAAAATAATTTATTTATTCATTGCCATACCAATCAAACTGCCTAAAATTATTTTATATAACTAGGCAAAGTAGTGACAAAATTAATCTGGAAGAATAAAAGGTCAAGAGTATCAAAGGAATTAGTAAAAGATATTAAGCAAGGCAACCTAGCAGTACCAGATTTCAAAGTATATTACAAAGCAGTAATCATCAACACAATCTGATGATGCCTAACAAAGAGAGTGAAGGATCAGTGGAATAGATTAGTTATACAAAACACAGTAGTAAATTACCATCATAATTTAATGCTTAATAAGCCCAAAGATCCAAGCTTTGGGGGCAAAAACTCAATATTTGATAAAAATTTCTGGGAAAATTAGAAAGAAGTTCAGCAGAAACTAGACCTAGACTAGCACCTCACACTGTATAAAGTCAAAATGGATAAGTAATTTAGACATGAAGTATGATGTCATAAAGAAATTAGGGGAGCATTGGAAAATGTACCTGTCAGATCTATGGATAAGTGAAGCATTTATAGAGGGGATTATGGGAAGTAAAATGGACAATTATGATTACATGAAATTAAAAAGCTTTTACAGAAACAAAACTAATACAGCCAAGATTAGAAGAAAAACAGGAAACTGGGTTCTTTTGTTTTTACAGCAAGTTTCTCTTATGAAGGCCTCATTTGTCAAATATAAAGGATCTTAGCCAAATTTATGAAAATAAGAGACATTTCACAGTTGATAAATGATCAAAGAATATGTATAGGCAGTTTTCAGAAGAAGAAATCAAAGTTATCAATAGTCACATGGAATAATTGCTCTAAATCATTACTGATTAGAAAAATGCAAATTAAAACAACTCTGAGACACAGTCACACCTATCAAACTGCAGATTGGGTAACATGACAGAAAAGGAAAATGACAGATGCTGGAGGGAATGTAGACAAATTGGGACACCATGCACTGTTGGGGGAATTGTGTACTAGTCCAACCATTCTGGAGAATAATTTGGAACTATGCCCAAAGGGTTAGAAAACTGTACATATCCTTTGACCCAACAATACTATACTAGGTCTGTATCCCAAAGAGATGAAAGAAAATGGAAAAGAACATATTTGTATAAAAATAATTATAGCAATTTTTTTCATGGTGACAAAATAAAATGTTCTCTTAGAATGAGCTTCCAATCATTCTCCAACCCAGCTTCCCAACAGTATAAGCCTTCATGTTAGCTGACTCTATCATTGGCTTCTTTAGCAAGTTCCATCACAGTTGCCTTGTCCATTATTCTCAGTGCCTCAGTGACAAATCAGACCCTCCTGGTAAAATTCCCTTTCTGGCAATCACGAGCACAACAATCCTAATTTAATCTTCCCACAATCTCCATGTAATTATTTCATTTACCATTTTTGTCAATTTTAACCTTTCAAATTTTAAAAACAGTGAAATGAAAATGATGCAAAGGTCCCCAGTGCCTTGCAGCCTCAGTTATTCCTCTGATCTTTAACAAGTCCATTCATATGAGGGGTATTTTTCTATCTGGTCCTCCTAACAGATTGTATCTACCCACATTTTAACAGAAAAACTGCATTTGTGAACATGTGGATTTTCTCTGGGTTCTTTGTACACAGAAGTTATTTTTTTATGCATTCCAGTAACCAAAGTGCTCCTTCATAGAAAGGGAAGTTTCACATACTAAGTATATAAAAAGGAAATGCAAAGTAATCTGAGGGAGGTAGTGAGAACAAAACAACTGAGAGAATAAGAAAAAACATGTAAGGTAGCACTTGAGTGTAGTTCATATTAGCATTCCAATGACAATCCCCCAGCCAAGTTATCTTCACTCTTTATCTCTTACATCTTCTCTCAGAAACCCTTTACTCATTTTCTGTCTATCAAAGGACCTTCTTGGGGTTCTTCACACATTGAACTCCATCTTCCACTGTCCTCTGTGCTTTTACATTGGCCTTGTCCTCCCTTATCACCTAACCCTTATAGAATCCTTCTCTTCCTTAAAGACTTAGTTCAAATACTACTCTCTAAACAAAGACCTTCCTAATGTCCACAAGTTCTGTGACCTTCCCTCCCCAAACTAAATTTATGTCTATTTTGTGTGGATATTCATATATGTACATCTCATCTTCCCTGACAGAATTTAAGTTCACTTAATTTTCATATTTGTCTTAGCAGAGTTCCTGGCATATAGTAGACACATAATAAATGTTCTTGATTAATTAATAGATAGCTTTCTGTTTTATGAGTCTATAGCAGCTTATTAGTATGATGATACATAAACAATCAACACATATAGATTATCATAAAAAACCCAATATTTTTAAGGCATGTCCAAATGGAATTTACTTAACTAGGCTAATAACTTTCCAAATACCTACATGAAGCTGGCCAGGATTTTTGTGGTATTTTCTTTTTAAAGATAAACAATATTTACATTCCTCATAAGTTATCAAGCCACTCATAAGCTTATTTTAAGTATTAAAAAAAATTGCCATGACTTGGAATGTGTGCATTCATCAAATGGTGTGATTACAGCACAGCAAAATGTTGACAGATATAAAAGGACAGCAAACAATTTCATGTAATAAATCATTCATCATGTTAATTCAATTCAGTTCAGTTCAATAAACATTTCCCTACACTGTCTTTCTGCCACTGAGACAATATGGTGCAGTTGCAAATACTTTAGCCTTGGAATTAGGAGAGAAAAGGGTCTAAATGTTACTCCAAGTGTTGGTATGACAATGGGCAAGTCATTCAACTTCTCCTCTTCGGTTTTTTGTTTGTTTCGTTGTTTTGATTGGTAAAGTGGAGAGATGCCTATGGTACCCACCTCATAGAACTATTATAAGGATCAGATGTGACAATATACTCAATGTACTTTGCAAATAGTAAAGTGCTATGTAAAAGCCAACTATTACGATTCAATATCTGTGACAAGCAGACCATTGTTCTTAGCACTGAGGTAGACAATAGAGTTTAAATAAGATCTCTGTCTTTGTTGATTTATAGCCAATAATCAAATACACTTCAGTATTTGAGTGTTAATTCTAAATCTAAATAGTTTCCATAAGAAGCTTGCAAATATATTTTGGGCTGCTATTTACCCACGTTTTCTCAGGTACCACCAAGCTTTGTCAATGCTCCCTCCTTTGCATCCATGCCGATTCTTGACACAGCAAGAAATCAAATTCTGAGGGGATAGATTGGCTGTGTAGCGACCATTGGACTGAATTGCTATTCGATCAGCTGCCACACCTGGTTGAAAGAAAGTATTGATGCATATTAAAATATAACACTTTGATTCATATTTATTGTACATAATACCTTATCTACTATCTTTCCAACCTATTAAAATGTAATTAAATATATTATATCAATTCCCTTCAACTAGAAATAACTATATCCAAAGTAGGCCAGAACCCATACAAGGTAGGTGTATTGACCACAGATGGTATTTCAAGGCTGTTAAGAAGAGATATTCCACAGCATACTTCAATGAACTTTAACAGCATTTATCATCTCTTACTTACACATTAGTTTTTTTATGATGTGTTTGAAACCTATATCACCTTCTATTGCTATCTGTAGACACAGAGATCATCCAGTCACTAAAATCCACATAAGAAGTCTTAAAGACTGCATTAATCTATTATCTCACCTTCTTTTCCTGGTGTCAAATAATGCCATATACTAGATAGGTAGAGAGATAGAGAGAGAGAGAGAGAGATAAAGAGAGAGAGAGAGAGATAAGTATAATGATAGTTATATATTATTTAACATGTATTATGTAACATATTGTATGCTATATATTATATAACCTAATAATAATACAATAATAATCTATGTATAATGCTTATGATTTTTACAGAACTTTTCTGATAGTAAAGACCTATGTATATTAGATACCCCAATCAGGTTGCTATATAAACATATCTGAGATTTATAGCATCAACTGAAACTTGACAGGAAAAGGATCAAAAACATAAAGTCCTCATATATACCAAAATTTTTATAGCAGCACTTTATGATAGCAAAAACCTGGAAACAAAATAGTCTTCAGTTGATTGAGGAATGACTGAATAAATTTTGTTATGGAAATATAACAGAAAATTATTGCTATGTAAGAAATTATTAATAGAAGGAATTCAGACAAATGTGAAAGACTTGTATAAACTGAGTAGAGTGAAATCATCAGAAGAAGGGGCAAATGTGCAAAACTATGATGATGTAAATTAAAATGACACTGAACAGCATCTGATTTCACATTAAATCTGGGTCTTAGGGGACTGGTGATGATACAGGCTATCTTCATCTAAGTAGAGAGGTGGAGTCTATGGGTACAGAATATTACATACAACAAGAAGCATCGTTGGTATGCTGATTAGTTCTCCTACATCGTGTTTTTTTTAATTTTTTGTTTTTTAGGTTTTTTTTTTTGGTTAGAGGAGTAAATTCAGGAGATGGGAAGGTAGAAGAGAGAGAAGGGATGGAGACAGTATGGCATTCTACATGGAATGCTGGAATTGGAACTAGGAAGACCTGAATTCAAATCTTATCTCTTCCACTGTGTGACCCAGGTAAGTCACTTGCTCTGAAACTCAGTTTATTCATCTGTTCAGTGATGGATTCTAGCTCTAAATCTCTGATCCTAGGAGTACATCAGAAATGACTGTGATATTTAAAAAAAACAAAATAAAAGACATAAATAAAATGACTCCCCCCCCAAAAAATAGAAAGTTAAGATAAGGACTATTCTCAAATGATTCTCTTGATGTGTAGCAAGGAGGATTTAACTCTCATTTAGGATTAAAGATTTAGACCTATTGACTCAGAAGGGACACTCAAGATCATTTAGTCCAACCCCTTCATTTTATAATTGAGGAAACTGAAGGCCAGAGAGGTAGTGACTTTCCCAGGTTCACAAAGACACTAATAAGCAGCAGAGGTGGGGTTTGAACTGAGTGCCAAGTTCTATATAAATAAGTATGTATTTTTTTTACTAGACCACTTCTCTTCCCCTAACTGCCCTTGCTTTACTTTAAACTTTGCCTTTTGTAACTTTCCTCCATCATCCTCTCAATGTGGTTGTAAATTTCTGCTGTCCAAAATTGCTTTTGTAGTCAGTCTCCTCAAAATGCTCATTTTAGAAGAATCTCCATTTTTTAAAAAATTTATACCTAAGCGTACCTATCCTCATAAGCTCCTCAATTCTTTTCACTGTGATTTGTCTGAGGTCACATAGGTATAAAACAGCATACAAAGTACCACCATTATTCTTATATTCCAGTAACTCTCCATTCAATTTAAAATCCAATTTTAAAGTACCTCATTTAAAGTACTCATTGCCTTAAAAGTGGATGGTTCAGGACAAGGATTCAGAATCAATGAGGATTTTTTTAAGATTTAAAATTACCCTTTATTTGGTCTAAAATTTAATATTTTTCAGTGAAATGCAATTGAAGTCTATGGGTTTTCTATTGGTTTTGTTTAGTTTTGTTTTTAAAAAGCCATATTTCTACAAAATATACCCCATCACTTACCCAGATATTTCTAAATCTCAGAGTAATTAGCTCAAATTTACAAGTAATATTTAGAAAAAGATCAGAAAGCAGAAGAATGACTCAATTCATTTGAAGTTGTTTTCATCTCCCTGATTTAAAAGCTTTATTGAGCATTACCCATGGGGCACATTTGCTTGTTATCTCTGTTTAGTAGTTGCTGTCTAAAAGTTTGCCCTATGCTGCTCCCTCATTCTTGTGAAAACTTTCACTGTTCAAGCTTCTGCCATTCAGATTGAGTTTGGTTTTTCCTCATAACTAGCCTCTTTTTTGCCATATTTTCTGAAAACTCCCCTTTTGTCCTTCACTTCTCCATTTTTCTCAATCATTTTTCTAATTTATTTTGGCTGTTGCTGCATTTCTTAACTATCTAAATCTTTATGAAAAACATTATATTCTTATTATAGTCTGATATCCTACCTCAGACACTTACTAGTTCAATAACCCTGATCCACTTAATCCTTCTGTGTCTCAGTTTCCTTACCTGTGAAATGAAGATAATAACAGGACTTATCTCATAGAGTTGCTGTGAGAATCAAATAAGTGCTTTGCAAACCTCAAAGTGGCATATAAATGCTAGATATGTTTAAATGCTAGCTATAAATATAATATGTATTTATAACATATGATATATTATTATAATATAACATAATATAATGCAAAATTGTGCGGTGTATTGTAGATAGATAACTGGTCTTAGAACTGGAAAGATATAGGTTCAAATCCACCTCTGACACCTACTGGCTATGTGACTCTGGTAAATTCATTTATCCTCTCAGTACTCAACCTTGTTATTTTGCAGAGACAGTACCAGTTTGCTTTGAAAGAGGGCATTTCCACATTTAAGAGTTCTCTATATCAATGAAATTACATGTCTGGTAACTACCCACAATGCAATGCAGTACAAGACAATATAGTGTAAAGGTACTATATTAGGCACCTAATATATTTATGGAAATCATTTTGATTAAGTAAAGATATTCATCTATTGCCTAAAAGCATGGAAGGGAATAGAACACCAAACAAACAAATGTGATAAAAGAGAGAAGAAAAGGAAGTTTGGAAATGGTGCAGAACATAAGCCAACAAGTGGTTCTATAAAGCCATAGGAAAATAGGAAATGGGAATGTGATGTTCCCAAAGATTATCCCTGAAAGGGGACAGATGGGTGTCAGAAATAATGATTGAATGGTTAACAGAGACAAACATTGCTATTTTTACAAGTTTGAAGAGCATAGTATTTCTTTTAGGGCTAAGGCCTTTGTGCAAATCCAAAGAGTGACTAAAAAGTAACATGACTTTAAAAGCAGTCATTTTTGAGTGACTAATTACATTAATGTTGCCAATGCTCAAATCTCTCTTTGGGATTAGACCTGGCCTCTAAGGTCCTTTCCAGCTCTCAATTTGTGATCCTAAGATTGTCTTCAGAGATTGTAGGTCCGTTGTTTGGTTTTACTCAATTCTAATAAAACTCATACTATGAAGGTGACTTTAATATTTGGAAACAACTAAAAGGCATATGGAAACAAGACCAGCAAATCAGGTGGGTGGTCAAATTGAGTAATATGATTTCTAGTAAAAAGAAAGAAAAAACTATGATATGACTATAAAGAAATGAGATGATTTTATTCATAACATGTCAACTGACTATAAAAAGGACAGCAAAGAAAGAGTTCTGGAAACGCTTTGAACAACAGCAACACCTTGGGTAATATATTAGACTGCAAACCCATTGGTAGTGAGGACTTTTTTTGCCTTTTTTTTGTATCCTCAGAGCTTAGTATAGTGCCTAATGGAATTAGTAAATGCTTAATTACTGACTTGTTGACATGTCTAGCCTCTCAAGGAAACTTCTTAAAAGGATACAACACCCAGTGAATGAGCTCTAGTATATTTCCTTTAAAATTTTTCTTAATCTAGTCAAATATTTTCAAATATGTGAAAATATTTTCAAAATGTGTTTTTTAATATGAAAGAGAAAATGCATATTTTCACAAGTCCATATTCAGCTTCATATTTCTGTTTCTCCATTCTTCAAAATAACTTAATAATCATTTATTCAGTAAACAAGCACTTCCAGCATTTCAGAAGAGGAAGGCCTGAGTTCAAATTTGGCTTCAGACACTTACTAGCTATGTGACCCTGGGAAAGTCACCTAATCTCTCCATGCCTCAGTTTCTTCAACTGTAAAATAGGAATTATAGTAGCACACACCTTCCAATTGTTAGGATCAAAGGAGATATTTTTAAAGTGCTTAGCACAGTGCCTGGAACTTAGTAGGTACTTAATAAATGCATGTTTCCTTCCTTCCTTTCTACTCTGCCATGCACTGAGTAATAAATACAAAGATAAAGGTAAGATAGCCCCTACCATCAAAAAAAATTAGTTGGGAGATATGATGTACCATGTTCCCAGATAAATAAATATAGGACATATGCAGGATGTACCAAAGAAAAACAAATCAATGTACAGTGGATTGACAAGTGATTTGGCAGAAAGGAGAGAAATCTAAGAAATCAGAAAAGGCCACCAAAAGGAAGTGGCACCTGAGCTAAGCCTTCAAAGGAGTTGAGTGTTCTAAGAGGTAAAAGGGAGGGAGATCATTCCACTTTTGGGGGACTTCTTCTGCAAAGACAAAGAAGTGGGAGTTTCATGAATAGGATACAGGAAGTAGTTTGTTTTGGCTTAAGTGAAGAGTGAACATCTAAGTATAAAAATAAGCATTAAAATTTTGATAAAGGGGCAGCTAGATGGCACAGTGGATAGAGTTCTAGCCTTGGAGTCAGGAGGACCTGAGTTCAAATCCGAACTCACACACTTGACACTTACTAGCTGTGTGATTCTGGGCAAGTCACTTAACCCTAACTGCCTCACCAAAGAGCAAAGAAAAAAATGATAAAGATAAAATATATCATGTGCTCTATTATTCTATGTGTAGAGTTATCTTCCAAATCCAAAAGTTTGATCAATTGCTCAATCAATCAGCAGTGTATTTATTATCCTTTGCCTCTCCAAAAAGAAAAAGAAAGTGAGGGGTAGGGTAGGAAAAGCTTATATGTTTGATTTATTTTTCTTTTAAAATTAAACTCAGAATGGGAATATCAATTTTAAGCATATAAATCTGATAGCTTACCTTAAGCATGAAGTAGAATTTTAAAGATATAACCATTATTTAATTTTAAAAATAATAAAAATTACAATTATATTCTGTAACATTGGCTGTAGTAGAATGCTAGATTAGGACTCAGGGGACCTGAGTTTTTGTTCAAAGTCAGCTACTAATTAACTATATTACTTCTCTAGGTCTCTGTTTCACCATTTATTAAATGAGATTGGACCAGATAATCTCTGAAGTCCCATCTAACTCAAATACCCTAAGTAATCTTGGGCATTATAAAAAAAGAGATAATTAGAATAACAATATTACTTGCAGTAGAAAATGCCCAGGATGCAGCACAGTTTTTTTGATCCAATGGGTCATGAGTCCATCCGGGCCACTTGTAGGAGGAGATAAAAAATTCTGGAAGATCAATCTTTGAAGGCAAAGTGACCTAAAAAAAAAAGTGAGAGAGAAAGAGAGAGAAAGCACCAGTACATCACAAGACCATAGATTTATTTTGAAGGGACCTTGGAGTTCATCTATTCCAACTCCTTCATTTAAAAGTTGATTAAACTGAGACCTAGAGAAGTAATTGTAAAAAGCCTTATATATAGTAAGTAGCAGAGCCAGGAATTGAAGCCTCATCCTGTACATTTATGCTAACCTCCGCACTATTCTGCCTTTATATTCTAAGAGAGGTACAATAAAAGTAGAACAGCTAGGTGGCACAATGGATAGAGCACCCAGCTTGGAGTCAGTAAGACCTGAGTTCAAATCCAGCCTCAGACACTTACTTAGCTATGTGACCCCGGGCAAGTCACTTCACTTTCCTCATCTGTAAAATGAGCTAGAGAAGGAAACAGCAAACCATTCTGGTATCTTTGCCAAGAAAACCCCAAAAGACGCTCCAAAGAGTTGGACATGACTGAACAACAACAAAATAAGTATAGAATGAAAGAGATATGGCCAGACAGGAGTTTCTGTTTAAAAAAAAAATTCCGTTTTAGTGGGTGGTGGCTCAATAATAGTATTACATTGCCAAGGGGAAATGATTAAAGGATTTTGTTGTCATTTTGTTTTGTTTTGTTTTGGTTGGTTGATTATTTTCCCTCCCCTAGATGCCTGTGCATTTGGTAAAGTGATTGGCCATACTGTGTAGGATAAGTTGGAGTAAACAAATACCATGAATGGTGAGGAGAGTGATGATGGATGATGATGGTGGCAGTGGTGGTGATTAATGACTATAAGATATAGTGTAATGGGTCTTTATTCTTCACAACTTCACATAGCTCTCTACTGAATGTTTGTGAATTTTTTAGCAATTCAAAATTTTTGAATAGCATAGCTAAAAATGTGAGTTTTTTAGCCGAAACTTTAAAGGGGGAAGGGGCTGTAAGAAAAGACAGATAGAGAGATAGATGAATATAGATCTTGACAACAATTATGGTGAATAATGATGACTTTTTGCAATATTATAAAGTGAACTGGTAGGTAGAGTGATTATTGTGGGTTATTGTACAACAGCAATGCTTTTGTCCCTCCTAATGTTTCTGTCATCCTGAGTCAGAGCTATGCTCATTAGAGAAGAAGATGACATAGTGTTATTTAAATCTGTCCTCCACAAGAGCAAGTATTTTCAAGGTCTAGAACTTATTTTTTCTTTCTTGCCTGTATCTGAGTCAGGAATGTATTTCTTACATGGTAATCCAAGGATTGACAGTCTTGGAGCCATAGGCAAAACACCAATTTGATACTTTGAGGGTTGACAATTTAAGAACTTTAATAATTTGATTTATTCCTCTCAATTCCTATGCAATCCTATAGTAGTCAATCCCCTTGGGGATGATGTTAAGATGTGTTGGCTCCTGTCTGTTAAGTACTTGAGGAAAAAAAAAAGGATTTCTTGAGATGTGTGGTATCAATGGTACGCTATAAAAGTATGATGCTCTAGGATACTATTTTCAAATTCATCACATCAAAGATCCAGAGCTGAAAGGGATCTCAAAGGCAGTTAGCTCAAAAACCTCATTTTGCAAATGAGGTAATAAAGGTCCAGGAAATTTAAGTGACTTATCTAAGATAGTGTCAGAGGCAGGATTAAACCCAGAGCAAGAGCTCTTTCTAATACATAAAAATTCCTCATCTCTTAATTTAAACAGTATCCATTTATACAATCACTTTTATGTTATGGGAAATGAAGTGCTATGGACTTAAATGAATGAGTTAATTAAAATGAAAACTCAAAAAGCTTTCTAAAAATCTAAACTTTCTGAAGCAGTCCACCTCATTGTATATTTCCAGAATGCAATAGGAAAAACAGGGCAGATGAGGGTATGGTGTTTTTGTTGTTGTTGCTGTTGTTGTTGTTGTTGTTGTTTTAGCAGGGAGGTAACAAGTGGAGTAGAAGTAAAATGTGGGAAATTGTTGCTATTTCTAAATTTTTGAAAATATATGTATATATATATATTGACATATATATTCTTTCTATATATGTGTGTGTTTGTGTATGTCTATATATGTATATGTATGTATATGTGTGTATGTATGTATGTATGCAGTGGCATGAAATTTTATATAAATATAGAAATAGATAAAATGTAAGGCTACTGCTCAAGTCTCTTACAAAAATTACCTACGACAGTTACGTAGCATCTTAGATAACTGAGAGAAAGAAGATTTAGAATGAATCTATTTGAAAATGTGAATCTGTATAACAATTCCCGGGCTTGAATTACAGCAGAAGAGAAAAGACATTTGTTTAAGGGAATATCTCCCTTGACAGTCAAAAACATTAGACACTGGATCTATGTACTTAGACTATGTCCACATGGATGATAGTTGAAAAGGAAAAAATGATGTTTAGACTTTAGTCAAACTTTTCAGCATAAGATATCTACAACAATATGATGGATAAAGCCATTGAAGCCAGCCTCAGACACTACTAGTTACCCAACTACAGACCATAGGTAAATTCACTTAACCTCTGTGTCTATTTCCTCATCTGTGGAATGGGAATAATAATAGTACCTACATGTCAAATTTGTTATGAGGATCAAGAGAGATTACGTGTTTAGTGGTTTTCAAAACTTAAATGGGTGATTAATAAATATTGTACATGATGGAGAGGACTTGTTGACCCATTACCAAAGCTTAACATCCAGGGAAGTCATGCCCATTTCATTAGCAAAGAACTGAAGGTGCAGTTATAGACAAATTCCTACTTTTATTTACAAGTAACTGAACAAAAAAATATTTAATGAAATAATGCATATAAAACACTTTGTAAATATTAAAATGCCATGTAAATGTCAGCTATTATTATTATTATTATTATTATTAACAGCTATCATTTACATAGCACTTTTAAGTTTTTTTAGAAATATTATCTCATTTTTGTCCTCACAATAACCCTAGGAGGGAGAGGTGGAGCCAAGATGGTGGAGGAAAGGCAGAGACTGGCCTGAGCTCCCCCACAAACTCCTGCAAATACCTTTTAAAAATGACTCTAAACAAATTCTAGAGTAGCAGAACACACAAAAAGACAGAGTGAAACATATTTCCACTCCAAGACAATTTGGAAGGTTAGCAGGAAAGGTCTGTTGCACCAAGGAGAGAGAGGACCAAAGTCAAGCACAGGACATGCCAGCACAGACCTGGCTCCAGCACACCTGGAGCAGTCCTCAGGGCAACTGAATCACTGGCAGCAGTGGCAGTTTCCAGATCTCTCAGCCCACAGAGGCTATCCATCCCTGGAGAAAGAACTAATGGTATCTGAATACAGATTGAAGCATACTTTTTTTACTTTACTTTTCTTGAGTTTTATTTTTTTTAATCTATGTTTTCTTTCACAACATAACTATTATGGATATGTTTTGCATGACTACACATGTATAACCTATATCAACTTGTTTGACTTTCAGTGGGAGGTGGGGCAGGGAGAGAGGAAGGGAGAGAATTTGGGATTCAAAGTTTTAAAAATGAATGTTTAAAATTGTTTTTACACGTAATTGGGGAAATACAATACTAAATAAATGTCAATGAAAATAAAACAATAACCCTAGAAGACAGGAGCTATTATTTTGCCCATTTTACCAATGAGGAAGCCAAAGCTCAAAGAAGTATGGGGATAGAGAGAGAGAGAGAAAGAGAGAGAGAGAGAGAGAGAGAAATATATTAGATATATAGATAATACATGAGATAAGTAGATGAGATAGAAGATAGATGACACATGGATGGATAGATAGAGCAATTATTAAGTACCTACTATGTGTCAGGCAAGCACCTAGGTGGTGCAGTGGATAGAATGCCAGGTCTGGAGTCAGTTCATCTTCCTGTGTTCAAATCTGTCCATAAACACTTACTAGTCATGTAACCCTGTTTGCTTTAGTTTCCTCATATGTAAAATGAGCTGGAGAAATAAATAGCAAAACACTCCAGTATCTTTGCCCAAGAAAACCCTAAATGGGGTCACAAAGAGTCAGGCATGACTGAAAACAAATGAACAACAACAAATATGCCAGACATGGTGCAAACTGTCAAGGATACACATCCAAACAAGAAGACAATAGCTATCCTCAAGGAGTTTCTATGTTAATTGTGGAAGGCAACACATAAAGGAAAGCTGGAAATCAAGGCAGGTGGGTAAGAGAATCGATGAGGAGGAGATGGAGGACCAAAGGTGTTCTGGAGTATGGAGTTATGAGTGAAGTGAAGCATGACTGAGACCCCTCCTGAAATACTGATCTGGGAAGACAGTCACCAATCAGTAGATCATGACTTTAGAGTGGAGATACCACCACAATGACAAAATTGTTGACAAGAAAAATAAGTTGAAACCCAAAGAGTTGAGATATGAGTAAAGCAAAGCATGGCTGGATCCTCTCCTTAAAGAGTGATCAGGTCAGTGAGTTACTAATTAGAACAGGAAGGGGATGGTGCTCAAGGCCCCCAGAAAGATTCGATGACTTGTTGAGAGTCACTCAGCTAGTAAGTAACTAAGATTGAATTTAAGCTACAGTCTTCCAAAGACCCCAGGCCCAGTACTTTACCTACTATATCATACTTTCTTTCAAGTAGTTAGACATTATCATTGTTGTTGCTGTTGCTGTTGTTATACCACGTTGAACAAATGTTGTGGTTGAGAAAGAATCATCTTGTGATCGTGTATGTTGATCATAGCCTCAGAAAGGTTGTGAAACCACATTCTTTAATAAATTTTTAAAGTTCAATTGTAGGATCAGAGATTTAGAATGGAATTTCATATTTATTGTTTATGTATTTGTATTATATATAATGTATATTATGTATTATTATGTATGCATATACATACACATAATGTCTATCTCCCTGATAGAATGTACAATTCTTGAGGGTAAGGATATTTCTTTCTCTTTATCCCTTTTATTTTTTTAATTAATTTATTTTTAGTTTTCAACATTCACTTCCATAAGC